TGGAGTCGGACCAGTAGTTGTTCAGGGCGTGGACGAAGGAGTTTCCGTTGACCTTGGGGGCACGGCCTATAGTTGTGAGTTAGTTTTCTGTTGCATTTGCTGTTGTAATCTTCCTTTCACAGTGACTTACCAGAGAAGTGGTGGATGTAGTTGTTCATGTAGGTGATGGTGTCGCTGGAGCCGGCGAAGTAGTTGACCCAGTAGTGGTAGCCGTCGCAGGTGGCGGAGTAGTCGCTCTGGCCATCGAACTCAGAGTTGGAGACGGTCACCTTGCCGGAGGCAGAGGTGCCGAGAACAAGGTGCTGGCGACCGATCTTGGAGGTCTAGATTCGAGGTTAGTGGTGTGCAATCTCAGATCTCAGACGAGTGAGCACTTACGGTGACGTGGTCGATCCAGACGTTGTCGGTGGTGTCGAGAGTGATGGCATCACCGCCCCAGACGTACTTAGGGTTGATGTTCTCAATCTTGATGTTCTGGATGATGACGTTCTCGGCACCGGCGATTCTCAGACCCTTGCCAACAATGACACCCTTGGAGCCGGATCCGATGATGGACTTGTTGGAGGCAACCTTGATGGGGTTGAGACCGGCCTTGTTGTAGGTAACAGAGACGGAGGGGGCGCTGGACTGGTAGTTGTCGCACCACGAGTCCTTGTTGATGGCGACCTGGCAGGCAGAAGCGGTTCCCCAGGGAGCGCAGCCGGTCTCGGTGGCGGTGCCGTCCTCGTCGGTGAAGTCGAAGGTCTTGGTCAGGACGATGACACGAGCGGACGAGTCGCCGAGGTACGAGACCAGCTCGTCGTTGGTGGTGGGGGTGACGGCAGTCGCAGAGCCTCCGCCGGTGGTGCCAGAGGCGAAACCCTCGGGGGTACCGGTGACGGAGACGGCAGCGGCCTGCTGGGCAAGGGCCGCAGCGGCCAAAAGGAAGGACTTGGCGAACATCTTGGAAAAAAAGGTGTAGAAAAGAGTTGAACGAATGAAAGAATGAGTGACTGTGGGAATGAAACAACAAGAGAGAACGGATCGACAGAGCAAGGCAACCTCGAGTTGATATACAATTGAAGGCTGGGATGGAAACTGGGTCTTTCGACGAGCTCACCCGAGCCATTGGATCACCTATTCCCATAGAGTCCATCGGCTTGCCATCGACAACACGATGGATTAGGCCATGACATGGATTGTTGGTCGTTGGCCGCGTAGTACGGGCCCCGTATGTGATGCGGGCGCGTAAACAACCATGGAATTGAATATATGACGGGGGCTTCTCACTCCACACAGAAATCCAATGGCAGAACCAACGGTTACTGAAACAGGCAATGATGGCTGGTCATCCGAAGCGCCATCCCGGACGTCGAGGGCGTGGTCGGGGCGGTTCGTGGCACAGACCTAATCAATGTAAAGCTCCGATCGACGCAAGACGGAGTACGTCCTGTGTGACATTAATTCTGCCAGGTCCACCCCATCCTGCCACGCGGGTCCGTCCCGAGGGAAACGAGCCTCTCACAGGCTCCCAGAAACCACCATAAACCACAAAAAATCCCATCAGCATCCAGGTTTGGGGTCCTTTGCGGCTCCGTAGCTCACTTCCCAAGTTTCCATACGTTGGAGCCCGTGTTGGCACTGGTGAAAATACCCCTGGCTTCCCGCAGCGGAGACTACTCCCCCCACCACCCGAATCAGACATTCACAAAATCATTTCAGGGGGTGTCTGTCAGACAACGTACGAGTCCCAATTCACGAGGCTTTCGTATCCTCTATGTTTAGCCATGGCAGCCTCTCGGGCAATAAAGCCACAACGAGATGGAGCTGTAGGAAAGACAATATGGAACCCGCACGGCAGTTGCCATCACGCATTGGAATCGCCCCCTCCCCTCTTCACCACCGGACCCGGGACTAAGGATCGTGGGGGATTTTATTTCGTCTGAAACTACGCTGTATTCGGAACTCACCGACACTGAACAGGGAACGACCAGGTGGAGAAGTGCCAGCAAACACATCGTGACGTGACATGAGAGAGGGAATGGAAGCCGACTAAGGACTGGACCATACGGACACATACACAAACCCACACGCACGGGAACGATAAAAGTTTTGTGGCTCACTGTTAACTTTTGGGCGGGCCCGACACAATGCAACCAGGAACCTCACTCTCTCCCTCTCCCCTAGAAGTAGCAATAGGGGAGCCGAGGGCAGTGTATGGTATTGATGGCGGCCAGACCCCGTTGGAGCGGGTTGTTGCATCATTTGACGTTAGGCGAGTCTTTCTCGGTTCATTGTGACATGCACTGCAACGCTGTTTTGAGTTTAAGCTGCTGAGCCAGACTCTGTCTTTAATATCGAGTGTTCGAGAAGCCGCGACACAAACCAATATATTCAACTGGGGACGCGTAACATGTCGGTGAGGTGCCGAGGCAGGAGAATGAAGTATGGTCTCTAGTTGAGGTGATGCTCAGCCGCGCCGATGGGAGACGAGCGACGAGGCGGATTGTTTCCGGGGGGTTCCCGGCCGAGAGCTTTTTTTGGTCCACGTAATTCCCCTGTTCGTCCAGTCTTGCCTCCACCTTGGCGATGTTTGAAAGGCGACAATGCATGAGCTGTCGAGGAGACAAATTAGTTAATATGGCAAAGAAGTGAACGAGATTGAAATTCGTCAGTCGACGCACGAAGACCGGAGTTTATCCTGAATACTACCGCCGTTTGCCTTGGTCGGGAAGTACGGACGAGAGAGCTTTTTGATCGTTGCATGGATTTCATAAAAAAGTCATGCACCCTGCCAGTTCCTCGCAAATGAGGCAGGAGTGCTCCGTAGATATTGTTTCATCGAAGCCTTTAAAGACATTTGCCAAGAACGCCAAGAAGAATCTCGAGCAATCGGACGGCCGCAATCCGATAGTTGTCAATATCAGATTAAATCATTGAATGGGCTATATCCGTCTACGGATTACTTGTCAATCGACTATACAACACATATATCCTGAGATCAACCTCTTTGGAAGCTACAGCGATCTGCATGCGCTTGGATCGGACGCTTTCGATTTTGTGTTTTAAGGTTCTCTTACAATGCTACGCCATCGCGAGGTAGCCCTCTTCGCTGAAGGCGATAACAGACAGTGCTATAACAAAATTAACCGGGGTGCTGCGTTCCCACAATCCGAAAGTTTCTGCTGATAAACCATCTCCACTCTCTGGAGCGCACGTCTGGGGCAGTTGTCGAACTCTGTTGCGCACCGGCTACTCCAGAGTGAGTGGTGTTTTTAGAGTTCAACTCGCACTGCACGCGCAAAGTCAATTTGACTGCCGCCAAGACATTTTTCGTAAGTTGGCCTATCTGTTCTGCTGGTGTACGATTTTGGGTGGGTGTGGTGATCGTGGGAGTAGTTCTGCACCAAGCTGGGGGAGGGCTCCAACGCTCATCTGCAGGCTCAACGGGCAGAATTTCGACATTTGGCGGGTTTGCGAGCAGAGCTCCAGATCGCTGATCATCATTTTCCGGTAGTAGTTAACGGCAGACTTGAAGGGTTTGGTGGGCAGTGACGACAGAACCACGCGATTGCTGAAAGAATTGATTTCCCCATATTGATATGCAATATGGATGGGATAAAAGGACCTCCGACCCTTGAAGTAGACAACTAGATAATTAACTCAAACGTCAGCGAGGCCCACGAGTCATCTCAACAGATGCAATTCATCCAGCGTCAACTCGTGTTGAGTTGGCTTGAGTCATAGGGAGGTTGAACACGAATTTGAACAATTGCCACAGCAGACTCGATGAATTCTCAAAATGGAGATTTCCGTTTGAAGAGCCATGTTCCGATTTTGTGTATACGTACATGTAGTGAACTGATTCAGCAGGCGCGCGTGAGTAGTAATGACACTCTCGGACTCAGGCTGCCAATAAGTAAGAGACAATTGCCGATTCTAGCTCAATCTACACCGTCGATAGAAGAATTAGTTTGTTGCTCATGCTCAGGCAGAACGTCGAGTACATGCAATGATCAGGATACCTCATGGCTTCAAGAAGGGGTGCGAGGAAGTGCGCGCATCGGAATGGAATACTCAGGATACATATTGAGTTGTCAATGAAGTTACCTAATTGATGCAACAAGATTCTAATTGTCCTAGACTAAATTCGTAACTCTCATTTGTAGAATTGAGCTTGCTCAGGCATAGGCGAAAATTGGTTGTTAAATTTAGTGTACAGCCAATAAGGAGAGTACGGCCTTGGCCAGGCCAATGGCTATGGAAACTGCAAGTGTTCATCACCGGTATCGCTTGACTGGAATGATGCACTTATTCCTGAAACTGGACCATGCATCAAATCGTAGTAGAGACATCTTGTATTCGTGTCTTTTTGTTGAAGGTAAAAAAACGACAGAGACGGCAAATGTGTACTGCTGTTTAGTGCTCTCTAAAGACGGACTATTCACAGAAGGACCGCACAGGGGAAGAAGAAGGGAAAGAAAAATTGAAACTTAGCACTCCTTCTCTATTAATTGACTGTTGAACAGAGTTTGATCTTTTTTCAATGTTTGGACAAATCACTCCGATCAAATGCCGAGGGGCCAAAGTGCAAACGTAACTTCAGATTCCCGATTCAAGACTCCAAGAGTCGGCCCTCGGAGTTTAAGGTTTACTGCGCAGTAGCCAGGGTCAGCAAGAATAATAGTGCGTGCGTCACGGCCGCGCAATGTTCGTTGTTGAGATCAGCAAAGTTCAAGTCGAACGAACTTCTTGTAAAAAATACGAATTAAGAATAGGTCACAAAATTCGAAAACCTAGTATCGCGTCTGTTTCTTGAACATGTTGTCAATTGGTGGAGGAATCGATCGTCATTCAATTAGGTGGCTGGCGTAGAATGTTTCTTCGGAAGAAATGCCGAAAGAGTGGGAACCGATGGTGCAAGATGTGCATCAATGGCGTTCATCGCAACGGTTTTCATAAGCGCCACCAACCACTGATAGAGCTCGGATGGTGTCATTGGTTTAGACTGACATCTTGACATGGGCATCGCGGAGATTCGGCCTTGTTTCGACAACGTCAAGTTTCCCAAGGGACTGGAAACACTGTGTTCTAGCTATGCTTTGCTACGTGAGTCTACAGTGCCAACGCCTTATCACGAATTGTCAGGTTTCGATGCGTCAATCGGCAATTCTCTCCACTGAGGACCCCATTGACAATACAACTCCCGCATAACGCTGTCGGCTCCTGCCGAAGAGAGAAAGCTTCAATTGACCGTCTGATATCAGAGTTTGACTTGCCGAGTATAAGATGTAAAGCCATGTAGCCATTCGGAACCTCGAACCGACGACCTTTAGTCAAGTCGCTCGTTGCAACCTGCCTCCAGCTTGAGAACTTACCCCAAAGACAACTTTCAAGGCTTCAAGATCATGCACTTCTCTCGGCTGTCCGTGTTGGCTTTGGCCGGCAAATTGGCCAGTGCCGGGAAGGGTCCCTTTCTCGAGCAGATTAATGACTCGACCTGGGTCATTGGAAATGATCACTGGAACCTGACACAGGGTTCGCTCTACGCAACCAAGCTTTTCTGGGAGGGTGTCCCGGGCGCCGATCTTGTGGGTTCGGCTGCCGGCCACTACGTCGGCTACGGTAAGACGACCATCTCATCGCAACTTTACTTGATGAAGCTGTGCTGACTGACATATTGCAAAAAAAGATGGGGAGAACAATCTCCAGTTCACAAACGCCACAATCGCATCCCGCGGTACGGACTACATCGATGTCAGCTTCTCCGCCGCTGCCGGTGACTTCCACTGGGTGATCTTTGACGACTTGACCGGCGCGTACCAGTACTTTGTCAACCGGGCCCTCCCCGACATTAGCATTCTCCGGACTTTGTGGAGGTTGGCCCCCGACGTCTTCCTCAACGGTCGCACGCATCTCAAAGATGAGCCCCTGCCCGACTTTTCGCTCTACGCCACCGCGACCAATGTACAGGATGAGACCTGGCAACTGGCCGATGGGTCCTTCATCACAAAGTACGACTGGTCCAATGCTGTCAGGGATCGTGACTTCTACGGCGTCTACGGCCCCAAAGCCGGGTCGTGGTACATCCATCCTACGACGGAGTACTACAACAGCGACCACCTGAGCCAAACTTTGACGGTGAGTTATTAGGTGACTCCTGCAATCTCGTGGGCAAATTTCTGACCTGATGACTAGGTCCACCGAGAGTCAAAGACTGGAGATGCAGTCCAGCTCAATGTCGTTCAGGATACTTCTCACTTCCGTGTTGGCAAGACAGTGCCTCAGCCAGCAGGCAAGGTCTGGGGACCTTGGTTGTGGTATCTCGTAAGAACACCTTGATCACGCAAAAGTCGGTGTCTCAGTATCGCTAACATTTGCACGCAAAGAACAATGGAGACGTAGCGGACGCCGCGCAAAAGCACAAGGAGGAAGTCAAACACGTCCCTTACACATGGTTCAAGGACACAGCCTACCACTCCCGTGGCGGAGTCCAGGGAACTCTGGTCCTCTCCGACGGCCGTCCCGCCTCTGGCGCTGCTGTTTTCCTCGGTGACACCGACACTACCATACGCCCCTCGATTCAGGGCAAGAACTACTATTACACAACGTACACCAACGACAAGGGTCGTTTCTCCTTTGACAATGTTCGCAGCGGCGGGTACGCCGTCTACGCCACCTCCAACGGTGGCAAGCTGGCTGACGTCTACACAAACTTCACTGCGCCCCTGACCATTACGAAGGACAAGACACTGAACCTCGGCAAGCTCTCGTGGACCGTTCCCAAGAGCAAGCAAATCTTCCAGATCGGCGAGTTCGACAAGAAGGCCAACGGTTTCAAGAACGGCGGCGTGCCCTACCAGCACGGCGTGGCTGCGCAGAGCCCCGCAAACCTGACCTTCACCGTCGGCAAGTCCCAGAACGAGGATTGGTACTTTGCGCAGTCCGCCATCGGAAAGTGGACGATCGAGTTTGATATTCCATCGGCGGACCTCGCTGCCAACAAGACTGCGCTGCTCAGCGTGTCGCTGGCTGGGTACTCGCAGAGCGCGGCTTTGGAAATTGACGTCAACGGGCAGGTTTACGGCTCCCTGAGCAAGGACACGTTGACTAGCGATCCTGCTCTATACCGGTCTGGCAAGGTGAGCGGCGAGTGGCGGTTCTTCCAGTACAAGATTGATACCGACGTCCTCAAGGCTGGGCAGAATACTGTGGGCTTCAGTGTTACTCGTTACACTCAGTGGAGAGGTTTCTTGTATGACAGCATCATCTTGGAGTGGCTCTAAGTTACCAAGGCATCTGTCACATCGATGTATTTATCACGAGTACAAGTAGCCATGAGAATTAAGGAAACTAATGACATAAGAGATTATGACTACTGGGAACGCTACTGCTGCTGTACTGCTGCCTCTACTGCTGCTGTTGTTGCTGGAGCCGAAGAAGTTCTTGGAGCTGCTGCTGTTGTTGGGGAGTCATTTGTCCCCCCAAAGTTTGGCCAGGAATACCTACGTTGTTGGTATTACTTTGTTGTGCACCCATGGCTGTGTTCGAGCCGCCGCTCCCAGCACTCCCCAGACCAACGTTGCCGAGACCAGCGTTACCCATGCCCATGTTGATGTTGCCCATCCCCATGCCAACGTTATTCATGTTACCGAAGCCGGCCTGCGGGGACTGTGAGGCCATGGCATTACCCTGATTTTGCAGATTATTGAATCCAGACCCAGCCATTCCCATGTTCGGCATGCCCATTCCCATCATACCTAACTGATGCAGATTCTGGAAGCCTCCGGGCATCCCAAAACCCTGCTGAAACCCTCCCTGCTGAGGCACTCCAAGCCCTTGTCCACCGAAGCCAAGTTGATTCCGGTTGAAGTCGTCGTAGCGATGCTCTTTCTTATGGGCAAGTTCGTTCTCCAGGCGCTCGTGCCTCACCGAGTAGAGATACGCGTTGAACTCATGGGACACCTTGGCCACCTTCTCAAAATGCTCACCCTTCACAACGATGGGCCCCGGGATATTGTTCTCCTGCTGATGGAATTCGGCCAGCGCCACGGCCGTTTGGAAGGCGTTTCTGATTTGTCTTCCGTTCCAAACTGGCTTGTGGTCATCCCTGAGAGTTTGCAAGTTCCAAAGAGTCGTAGAAAGAGCTACGATCTCATCGCGCTTGAATGTTACGTGTTGCGACGGGTCCATCGGCGCAGCTGCGATTGAGAGTTTCTCCGTACGATCCATTTGCACTTCCCATATCTTCTTGGTTTGCTCGTGGGTGAGGGGTGGATAGTACAAGGCCATGGACATGCGGGACTTGAAGGCTTCGTCAAAGGAGCCAACCTTGTTGGTCGTGAGAAAGAGAATTCCTTCGTAGTATTCCATCACGCGAAGGAAGACTGTATTCAAGAATCAGCACAAATATGGGAGCTAGATACCGCTTCAAACGTACCAGATACTAATGCGTTTCGCTCAATGTTGTCCTGGCTTCTTTCGGCCAGGAAGACGTCAGCTTCGTCTAAGAGCAAAACGCAATCCCAGGCTTGGGCCATCTGGAATGCATTCTGAAGATTGGATTCCACCTCGGTTGGAGTCATCCCCAAGTCACCTGTTTATGAGTCAGAGCCTTGTTCTCATAAATCCATACTTCGCAGTATGGTACGCACCGCAAGTGATAGGCAACAATGGCTTGTTGTAGTAGGCTGCGACGGTTTCTGCGATCCATACTGTTAGTATACATCCAAATTGCCAACATAGAGTTGAGAATAATACTGACCAGCAGTTGAAGTTTTGCCCACCCCAGGAACTCCGTGCAATAGTACGATGAGGCCCTTCCCTGAATGTTGTCAGTCTTTAAGGTCTTTCAGAAAAACGTCCACCATTCATGATAATACCTTTGTCTTGGATGATATCGAATTGACGCCGCTCAGACTTCTTCTTGCGAAAATGAGTTGCCATCAAAGACTTGATTATGGTTCTGTGACTGTCGTCTATCTGAAGGTAGTCCCATGCCTTCTTGTCTTCTCCCATTCTAGTGAGGCTATGTCCCTGAGTATCAAGTGAGCCAGACCCGAGAGGAATACAAGCTAGATTCCATATGTCAGCGAAATCAAATCACTTCTTGCTGAAAGAATGTCCATTTACTTACCCCACTGACGTGTACGTAGAACAAAAGCAAAAACTCTGTTGGGAAGCAGGAGGATCTCATCTCCTTCAGGAGACTCTCGGCCGTAAACCTCTACGGGCTGAGATTGATCGGTGTATTCGAGAACTTCCTCCGCCATTCGAGCATCCCATACTCGATCATCGTCTACTCCTGGGGGAATGATTGGAGGGGGGGCAGAATACGGTGGCGATGCTTTCTTTTCTTCAGTAACCTCGGCCAAGCCCCAACTGCCTCTGGAAGATCTTCCGGGCTTCCAACTTGGAACTTCTTGTAGGCAACGATGGAAATCCACAACCACTGGGCTTTCAATAGCCTCCGAAATCATCACAGCAGAAGTGATCGCCCCCTTCTCAGGACGGCGTAGAATAGTTCCCTCAGGTTCGTGTATCAGACTTTGACCTCGGTAATAACTGTAGGACCATCTTGTGTAGGATATGAAATCTTGTCCTTTTTCCTTGCAGCCTGATATGTCAACAAAGCCATCTCGCTCCGCGATTCTCAAGGGAATGATCGGAAGGGAACGAATACTGGTCAGATCCCTGAGCATCTCGAACTTAAAGTTCTTGAAGACGCGGATGAACTGGACGCCATCGAAGTCTATGTGATAGCATTCTATCACAAAAGGGAGAGGCCTCGAGTCGTTCAAAGCACCTCCAAGCTGTAAATTAGTGGCTTGAGTCGCAGGTTGCCGGTATTGTGGTGTTTGACCTCCTTTGCCTTGAACCACACGCCACAGCTTCTGGGGAACTGCTGGATCTTTGACGTAGACGATACTCCCCGGTTTGAATACATGCCATAGTTCTTGGTAGTGGACCCGGACATCGCCTGAACCCTCAACTGCTTTCCCCAAGGGAAGAATGTACTCATCAATGCAAGACACAAGAGTGCCTAGGTCATCAGATGCTTCTTGCAGTTCATCTTGGGTTAAAGATTTCCAATCGTACGCCGAAGTGAATATAATGTTGTCTCTCGTTTCCCTTGTCATTGCTGGCTTTGCATCCTTCGTTTCGATTTCTTCACTGACTTCGGCTTCAGTCGACACTTTTGGATCTTTAATCTCTATGTCTCTGTCTTTGGAGCTAAGACAGAGTTCCTGGATCTCCGACAATCTTTCGCGGATCTTGGGCTCAAGCCATTGGAGAACCTTGAAAGGGCGGTAAATCGTGTAATTGTCGGCCGGATGGTTCGGAACCAGGGCTCCATTCGACAGGGCACTAAGGACTCTCTTTACCGCCAAAGAATTGATTGATATCCTCGAGGGGATCACTTTAATATCGTTGTCCCGGGGTTGTAGAATGACGGGTTTAGCATGTGACCGACTATCGGGACCGCTCCGAAAATATTCCCTGTCTAGAGGCTCTTCCTCTATCAAAATCTCAATCGCGTACTCTTGAGGTAAGTCCACCCACTCCCTCCATTTGCACTCGATTTTCCCGGAAAGGTACCGCTTCCTCTCTTCATATTTCACCTCACTCGGAGGTACCAGAGGAGGTCGATTACTGTCTTTGATCACCTCAGAGATCCAGTTCATCATCTTCAGATGGTTGGCGAAGTACGTTGCCGCGCTATTAGGATGGTATGTCCTTGACGCATCAAGATGATGCAAAGACATGCTTTGAAGCTCTCGCGCAACTGTCTCCAATTTAAAATTCCCTTCGCCGCGGAACAGTCGGAAGTCTCGGGGCATAAGACTTCCATCTGAGGTCTCGCTGACGTTGTCGGGTATATCGGGTCTTGAGACATCATCGGGAATAGGATCGACTTCTGGCTCTGTACCAGACGGCAATTCCTCGGCGTCTTGCTGGCTGAGAGTTTCTTGTGAGGCGTCATGATGACTTGACTTTTGCTGTTGAGCATTAGTCATCGGATGGAAAATTCTGCATCGTTACGTCCGTTACATGGCGGTGCTTACAAGAGGTATAGAGGATATCGTTTCCTTGCTTTCAGTCTCTGTATTGGAATCTTTCTGTGAGATCAGACTCGACGCCTCGGTGGAATGAGAAGTTGTAGCCCGCGGAAAATCAGCCCCTGGGGGGTGAATCGACACATCCAACGTCGAAGACATGTTCTCTAGCTGTCGGGAACTTGGGAGTATGCCTCATTCGACCTGATTAATCGTGAAGCATGAGGTGTAATGAGCTATCGCTCCCAGAAGAAAGATCAAGTCGGCTGGTTAGCAACTCTATTGAGGTTGGGGTAAAGCAGTAGTAGCGATAACGTTTCGCGTGTGGCTGGGTCGCAATGAGCAAGGTAAAGAACCCCAAGTAGCAAAGAACCTGGGAGTGAGCAGTTTTCATCAAGTCTACTGTTTGGGATGACAGGCATCAAAGGCCAATCAACTGGAGCCTCAATGCCGGAGGCAGGCACGTACAGAGTGTTCGGGCTACTTCAAGGGGGGGTGCCAGCTATGCCAACTATTGGTCAGCCTGATGATGAGATGTTTAACGATAAGCGCCTTGTTCCCCTTTAGAATCAATCTTATGCAGGCAAGCTGTAGCCTGGCAGCGATACAACTCTTTCCAACCCCTCACAGCAGGTCCGCATGCCGACTCCCGGATGCTGACGCCAAGACACGCCGCCATCCCCCATCTTGGTATTGATGCCAGCGCTTACGCTTACCCCCCTTTTCCGCAGCCTTACCATCAGGTGAAACGGCAGTCGAAGAAGAGGCAGAAAGGATTCCCACTACGTCTTTCCTCGAAACCTTTAGGAAAGGTTGGATCCCTTCGGAACACAATCATGGCTGATTATGTCGGCACCTTCATGAAAACTCACGCCGGTGAGCGGGACCCGAGCTGGCAAGTCTCAGCTCGGGACAAATTTTCGGAAAAGAGGCGTCAAAGACAGGCATCTCTTAGGTGAGTGGCCCTATTCCTCGGGTTCGTAATGTATTCCAAAGCTGGTGTGTTTGTCAGGATTGATACTGACGCGAAAGCTTGCTCTCAGAGTTCACGAACGTACAAAATCATTCAAGACATTGATAAGTGCTTTCGCGCAGAAAACCAATCGTAAAGACCTCGCGAGATTTGACGTGGAAAAAGATTTTCAATGGGAAGATGTGAGACTCATGGCGTCCGAGGCAGTCGAGGAAGACAATGCCAAAACGAAAATGAGACACAATCCTTTTCGCGC